TGACATCAATGACATTCAAGAGGCTTTAGAAATAAACAAATGTAAGGGTTCAGAAGAGTAGAAGGAGAATCACTAATCTGATATGCTAATGGCATATAAAATTCAAAATGCAACAGCGGCCATAACGAATACAAAACAATGCATAACAGGACCTTGGATGTAGGAATACAACAGAAATACATAAGACTTGCCTAAACTACTTTCCTTATCTCTGTTACACTTTAACCATATCTCATAATGATGAGGACTCTATTTGTTAATCAAAGCCCATAATTACAAAAGCATTGGTGAGTATACATAACAAAATCTGAAGGAAAAAGCAGGAAACTATAACAGGAAATGTAGCTAGTTGAAAAATGAGAGAAACACCACAAATAGAACTTACAGTAAATTGAAGTTGTTAAACAAAGTGATTATGATGCTACTGAAGTACAAAGAGAAACAAGATCAGAGCTGCATGATCTTAACATCTTCTACCATCATCTCAGTTTTAGATTCTTTGATAAACGAATTACCTTTCAACTTCCAACAATCTGTAGTTATGCAATAATAGGCTTAACATTGTAATAGAACCAATTAGGAAAGAAATCAAATGCAAAATTGTTGAGGCTATTCTCCTGACTTTCGTTGGTAGTTGGCCCACTCTGCCATATCATGTAATAGTTGAAAACAAGGAACGGTTGAAACTACTGCAGGCTGCGGTATAACTCTTGACAAAAAGGCTCCCACTAAGGACCTGCTTCTATCTACTGAAAGTCTAAGAGGATGAAATAAATTTAGTCAAGGAGATAACAAAATAAAGACAAAGATAATAGGCACACCTACAAAAGCATCAATTTGTGGTGTTATTTATTATGCAATGAGCTGCAAATTATATTATTGCAAAACACAATGAAAAGCTAAGATCACAGCATCATCTCCTATATTGACTGTGTAGTAGTAAGTTTGACTTGACTGTCCAACAATGAAAGCAGCTGAATTCAAATATTAGAATAACGTCACAAAGTTTCTATTATTTAATGGAAAAAGAACAAGCAGCATAACTAAAAATGAACCACAGAAACAATTCTTTTAAATGCTTAGACTATGTTCTTTAGACTTTGTTTATCTTAGCAGCTGATCTCAGAAATAAGAAATGATTCATGAAGATTTCATGAAGATAATACTAAAATAATGACAAAATGTAAAGATGTTTACATTTTAGGATGCCTCTCTTTGTTCAACAGACTCTAAGTTTAGGATGCCTGTAGGATATACCATTGTCATCTGTAAGCAAAAATATCTAGCTGAGTAGTTAAGCACAAATCATCAATTTTTTAAACACTTCTAGGTTAACATCTCAAGAATTTTTTTTTTTTTAAAAAAGTCATCTTTTCACTTTTACCTGTGTATTAAAATCTGGTGTCGGATCTTGAAGTCAGGTTGGATCAGATCAGCCAACAAAGAATAAACCAACAGATAAACTTTGGATGTACCGACTGTAAGAATAAATATAGTTCCTATGCTTAAACTATTTTGGAAATCATGTACCCAACAATTACTCAAAACCTCTTAGACCATTTGAAGAACTTCTATAGAATCCATTTGCAAGTGGCAGGGTAATTATATAAGGAATCACCTGGAGTTCTACTAATGGAGGAGTCATTATGCCAGTGATTGCAGCATCAGCACACAACCCATGCATTTTAACATCCATAACTGATATGGCAATCTCCAATAAGAATTTCCCAGATCCTCTGAGCCTTTCCTTTGGGTGTCCAGTCCCAAAACTGAGAATTTGTTCCTTATAACCATCACTGAAATCTGAAGTATACTCTACGCCACCAGAGCCAGAGAGATGGACTATTTGATTGATGTGACTTTTTTTATCTTAGCTTTTGTCCAGAAACAAGAAATGATCTATGAAGATCACACCATAATTATAACAATATGTAAAGATATTTGTCATGTTTCAATAACAACTCTTAGGCTCTAAAAGCAAAATAAAACGAGCACTTACACCAGCCATAACAACAGAAGCCTCGTCTGAAGATGTGTCTTGGGTCATATATCTGTTTAACAGACACTTAATTTTAGGATGCCTGCAAGATATACACCTTATATCTGTAAGCAAAAGTATCCAATGATAACAACTTCATCTCTAATTTATCTAAGAAAAAAAGAAGATGAAACTGACTGATGTCTACATGGTATGATTGACCATCCATACAGTACAAGCAAACAGAATTTAAATAAAAGTTCACGAATAAGAAATTTATGATCCACTATTACCTTCCTTCAATATATCCAACTCAGAACTTACATATGCTAAAGCTGCAGCTAATTTCTTGATTTTTTTTAACAAAATCCTAACAGAAATTTACTCCTAATTTCCTGTTTATTGTTTAATTAATGCCCTCGTCTTCAAAACAATCTCTTGATTTCCATATGTACAGGAAGAACAATAAAATCCGACCAAACCATTCATGCACATTTAAAATCATTAATTTATTCCACACAGAAAATTACCACAGCTTCCTCCGTTAATACAAGAGGTTACTATCTCAAGAAAACAGAATGTGAAACACAAAAAGAAATTTACCTATCTGGAGTTGGCGATGGCTAGAGAATGGGCCTCCAGAGAGCAGAGGCCGTCTCGGCCGTCGATCGGCTGGCACTCCTAATCCTCTTCCAAATCGCTCGGCTGCGTCCGCTTCGAGACTGATTCGAAATTTCAATTGATCGGAAAATATGGTGAAAGGAGACGATTGTCTTTTAAGAAATTCTCATTTTCATTCAATAAAACGCACCGTTCAAAGGCAACCAAACCAAAAGAAGAGGATAAAATATGAAATGAAGAGATTGATTGGCAAAAATCACAAGAGGATCAAATTACAGTAACAAAATACACGAGAACAGTAGATCAAATCCAAAAGAAAACAACACAAATTCATACATAACCATAATTCCCACACAAGTCAATACAACTATATATCAACAATGAACATGAAAAAGATGGAAACAAACTCAAGAAGCAACTGTTGCCAGATCTCTCTGGAGTAGGAAATCAACTGCACTTGCTTGCACCTAAAAAAAATTAAGTGTCACTATTATATAACATGCCTTGATATTTATGGTTAGAATTTATATAGAACACAAATATTATAGAGAGTTGTTGAAACTTACTCACTTAAGAGCATTGGTTGGGTTTTTGGATTTTTCTCTGCTTATGACTTCGATTGTACCTCCCAACCAATTTCTGTTGATATTTCTCCACTTTCTTCACTACCCACCATGGTTTTCCTGTAGTGAAGGCGATGTATCCCAGACTAAGTCCCAACACCAGTCCACACCCATAGCCTGCCAATGCAAACTTCCACTCAAAGACTGCTGTAGAGTCATCTTCTTCATCAAATTGTGGTGAAGGTGGTCTTGGTTCTTCGCATTTCTTTGTCAATGGGAATCCACACAACCCAGAGTTCCCAATGTAGGAATCATTTGAGAAAGTATTGAACTACTTCCCTTCAGGTATGTGGCCCACAAGTTCATTGTGTGAAAGATTCAAAACTGATAGGAACGTCAGCTTTGTCAATTGCTCTGGAATCCTACCTTTAAGCTTGTTTGATGAGAGATCTAATGACTCGAGTTCTGCTAATTTCCCCAGTGATGATGGGATTTGACCATTGAGACTATTGTGAGATAAGTTTAGCAGTAAAAGTGAATTGAGTTCTCCTAACTCGTCAGGAATCGATCCATTAAATTGATTGCCCGAGAAATCTATTATTGTGAAAATATTCAAGATCCTTTCGAGCTCCCTCTCTGACCCTTTTATTACTACCTTCACAGAATACTTATAAATATAACTAATAACTTGGTCCGGTCCATCTCTGAAAGGCCCATTATAGCCATCAATGTATTCCAATTCGGCTTTATCAACTAGAGCTACATCTTTCATACCTTTCAAAATTTTGAAATAGTTACTTGGTAGGAGACCCATAAATTCATTCTGTGCAATATCAATGATTCTCAACTGAGGGAAGTAAAATGCAAGCATAGAATTGCTGATGGCACCATGAAACCGATTAGATCGAAGGATGAGAACTTTTAACGATGGAAGAACACCTAACCAATGTGGAAAGGTATCATTCAAGTTGTTGTTCCCCACATCTAGAATTTCCAAGTAACTGCAATTAACCAAAGAACGTGGCAATATCCCTTCCAACTGGTTTCCATTTAGGCTGAGAGTTAACAAGAAACTGTTGTTGACAACTAAATTTGGAATCTGACCATGGAACTTATTCATCTGCAGATCCAAGAGGTTGAGATAACTCAAGTTTCCAAGACATTCTGGAATTTTTCCTCCCAACCTATTATTAGCTAAGACTAGAGCTGTAAGATAAGTAAAATTACAATAAGAAGAAGGGATTTCGCCAGTCAAATTATTCCCCGAAATGAGGAGTTGTTCCATAGAATCCACAGTTGTTGATAGAATGGGAAGTGATCCTTGTAGTAAGTTCGATCTGAGGTCAACAGTGTCAAGATATCCAAAACCAGATAGATCTATACCAGTCAAGAAGTTATAAGAAAGGTTTAATTCAGACAATAACATCCCTTCTATTTCCCATTGGTGAATTTGACCAGAAATCTTATTGTTGGAAATATCCAATTCTCTCAACATCTCTGCCTTCCTTAAGAAACTTGGGAACTTGTGTATGTTGCAAGAAAAGAATATTAAAGACCTGAGGTACGGAAAGGAATAGTTAACAGCAGTGCCCTCATTGCTCAAAGACAGCAAACTGTTATTGGACAGATCAAGCTCCTCAAGGTCTACAAGCTTTGAAAGCATGTCGGGTGTAATGGTGCCAGTTAAGTTATTTGAAGAAAGGTCGACACTAGTAAGATGCACAAGATCAAAGAAGAAGCTAGGAATCGAACCACTTATCTCATTATTGGACAAATAGACTTTTTTTAAAATGAGATTGGGCATCTCAACATGATCAATAGGTCCGGTAAGGCAGTTGTTTTGGAGGTCTAAATAGGATAAAGAAGGCAGAGAAAACAACCAAGATGGTACACGACCTGATAGGTTATTTGAAGATAGTGACAAAAAAGTAAGATGCTTGTGTATTTTTCCAAAAACATTTGGAATTTGCCCTCCCAAATGGTTGGAAGAAAAATCTAGTTGAGTTATCTCTGTAAGATTTGCAAGAGATCTAGGAATTGATCCATAAAATTGGCAGCTATAAAGATTCAATTCCTTTAGGAGTTTAAGATTTCCAATTGAATGAGGCAACTCTCCTGACAAGTTTGTGTTTGCAAGATTCAAATACTCGAGGGTACTACTCTGGTTTGACTCGAGCAAATTACCTCCTAAATGAGAGTTGGAGCTTAAATCAAGAACCTGGAGAGATGGAAGCTGAAAAACTTGGCTTGGAAAGGTTCCTTGCAACCTACAACTTCTAAGGCTCAAATGCTCCAAGGAAGAAGTCAAGTTTA